CACTGGACGGAACCATTTTATCTCTTTATAATGCTACACGGAGTTTGATTGAAATTAGAGGACCCTTTTCCCTACAGTGAAGCTGGCGGGAGATGAGAAAGTCAAAACTAACAGGCGATTTAAATTTATTTTAAATCCAATTACTTTTTTAATGAAAGTGTATGAATTTTACCAACAAGTTATGTTTAATAGAAGGAGGTCCTTAATATTGTTACATTGTTGTTAACAAATGCGTACAAAATAGTATGACCTAAGTTACAGGCCTTTCGTTGTGTAAGCATATTGTATTATAACGGAGTTTTTTTACGCGTTGCAAGGCAACAGCTTTGTAAACACGAATGCAGGCAACAATAGAAGGGAAACAAGATTCTGTATGCAGTCCGCTATGAGAAAAAACACGGAGTTATAGGAACTCTGTTGCTAGACAACGCAGCTGTAGACATTCATCCACAACAATGGAAGACGGTGTTTCCCGTGGGGTCCTTGCAAAAGAGTTATCTTAAAAACGAACGGCGCTACGAGTTCAGTTGCGAGTTCTCGGAACTTGGTGTTTGATCAGAAGGCTTCATTCATGTGTAATACTAGGAGTGTGTGAATCAGTGAGGCTATTGTAGTTCCTGCCTTTCAGTTGTGGTACCAGGCGAGCACCAGTGTGTGTGTAAATCAGCGATAGTGCTGTATTTAAATGTGATTAAGAGAACTTGTAACGAAGGTGCTAGTAAATCCAATCATCCGAAATAGAACCCGTCATTTTGGTCGCGCGTACCACCCTACACGTGACAATATGATAGGTTATAACACTCATATTGGCTCGCTTACAGGTTCATTGCACGAGCTGCATATAAGGAACAGCTCTTTCAGTCTGTCTTCTCCTGCGCTCTTTAGCCTAATTGCCTTGTACTGAAACAAGGAAAGTAGTCTTCTGAGATCACCTTGCAGTGTGTCTGTCTCTTGTGTGTATCCTCCCCCCCCCACAACATTTGAACGCCTGAACCAACCTGTAGTGCTCGTGTTAGTGCATTAGAGATAATGTTCTATGGAAATCCGTGTGAAAGAATGGAAAATGGGAGACTTGTCCGATTTTGAAAGCGGACATATTGTTGGTGCGCGTTTAGCTGGAGTATCTGTGACAAAAACTGCAACATTAATACGTGTAGATGTATCGAGAGTGACAGTTTATAAGTTTATGTCGGCATACACGAATCATGAGAAGACAATATCAGCAAACAGAAAACATGAGCGAAAGAGAAAGAGAAAGAGATCGTCATGCATTGAAGATTGTTCTGAGAAATCACAGAACTTCTGCAGCACAGGTAAGAGAACAACAGAAGTGAATACTCATCTAGAAGACCCTGTTTCCACAATAACTGTCCGATAAGAGCTTCACAAATACAATATTCGTGGTAGCAATACGGCTCTAATTGCTAAACCTCTGATTACTGAATGTAATGCTCAGATGCGTAAACGACGCTATCACGACCACAAAACCTGGAAATAAGGCAACTGGAAGCGCGCGCCTGAAATCGTCAGATGAGTCGTCCTTCACAGTGTTTCCTACATCAGGAGGAGTTTGCGTTTGGAGAACACACACGGAAGCTAACAATCCGGAATGCCTGGTTCCAACAGCGAAACACAAGGGAGGTTCCATGATGGTCTGGACAGCAGTATCATAGTACAGTATTCCGTTTGTCCATTATTACCCTTAATGGCTGAATTGCTGCAAGGGAGTGCGTGGACGGGTTGGGTAATCAGGTGCATCCCATGATGCAGATGTTACTTCCGAACAACGATGCAGTTTTCCAAGAATACCAAATGCCCATTCACACAGTGGCAACTGATCAGTAAGGATTGAAGAATATGAAGGTGAAACTCAACATCATCCCTGGCCAACCCATTCACTAGATTTGGACATCATTGAACAAATCTGGTCAATTTTGAGACTAGAATGAGGAACGGTTTCCCAACTCCAACATCTATAAAGTAATCTGAAGATGTTCTTCAAGAAGAATGGTATATAGTATTTCATCTACAGACTTTTCAGAACTAGTAGGAGTCCATTCCAAGAAAGAATGAAGATGTATTGAAAGCAAAATGGACCCAGATCCATATTAATAAAGAAATATGTACAGTGTCTGCAGCGATTTCTTTACTGGCGTCTTATCCAACGCCTGTACATCATAAATTCCTCTTGTCAGTGGCAGCAAAACTGTAGCCTCTCAAATTGTATTGTTTTATTGATATCATTATGCAAACTTACAAAAGACTACAAAATATCTACACGGCCCACATCTCAGAAAATTTCTTTCTTCCTTAGTCACGGCAATGAAAAACCTAAAATCTTACATGAGACTTTTTGTAACAAAAATTATATATCTACATGCATAATAGTACCTGTGTTTTCACTAATATGGAGGCAACAAAATTGAGTCTACAATATTTAGACATCAATAATTCTGAGTTATGAAAAGCAGAAAAGAAATATTTTGTCAGTAATAATACTACATTGAATTATATCCTTGTATTATTGTATATAAAGAATTCAACAGTGTAGACGAAGTTGATATCTGCTACTTTTTAATTTTATTCCACTCTAATTTATTACTCTTTTAAAATCATCGTTCTTAGTGCTCAGTCGGGGTAAAAAAGAATATCTGAATATAACCTTAAAACATAAATTAAAATGTAAATGGCAGTAGTAATCAAAAAGCGATATTCCTTACGTTTGATCGGCAACTTCTTACTCAGGTGTGACGTAGAGGAGACTGGATCTAAGCTGCTTGCAATGTCGGGAGCAGTAATTAATTCGATTTGCCCCTACTGTACTATTCCCATTCGCCACAAGTCAATTAGTCAGGCAGGGTGCTGACACGCCCCTAACCGTTTCTCAAGGAGGGTGCAACCCTTAACAGGACTATTCGTCAGTTAATCAGGGAAATATACTGTACCGCATGGCACGCCCACTGTTTATGCATTCAGCAATTTAGTGCCGTCAGGGGCAATTCCTTACCATACTCAGAGTCTAATTCCTACATTCTTTCTCACAGCGATCTAAGTATTTTGCATTCACCGGACCATTACTGTGTAAAGTTCTCTATATTCATGGCACAAAATGCAAGATAGTGTACAGCTCTTGTAATTATATTCAAAGCAAGTTATTTTCTGCTCTCTAGAGAGAGAGAGAGAGAACATTTAAGTCCTTCACGTTCAGTAAACCTTGAACGTAATTTAATGGAAATGTAGTTAGAAGAAGCCGGTCACGGTAGCCGAGCGTTCTGGGCATGTATTGTCTTCGCTCACTCTGAAGCCGGGATCGTGATTTCGAATCCCACACAAGGCATAGATGTTTGATGTGTGTACGCATTTATTCTGTTTGTGTTTCCCTGTGTTAAGCTTTACATCATTTATCAGGAGATACGTGCATGCTTTCCTTGCTTCGTATTTTGTTGTAGAGCGAAATGCACCTTGTAATGAAGGGGTGAACTTATATCGACTACCTTTGCCGATGTTATCCGCCCAGCTCAAATTCTCTATCGATTATCTAATGAGGAGTTGGAAATGTGATGCCCATTCACAGATAAAGTTAGAAGGGTTAATAACGTGTCATACGTAACTAGAAGGAATTCAGTAGGATTATTACGACGAGCAGTTTATCCAGATATTATTTATCCTTATTGTCAATATCAAGTTCAGTTATGTCGTCAATATCAAGCGAAGGTTCAGCAAGCTTGCGTCTGCCTTCCCACGTCAGGAAAGTCACGTTATTTCCGAGGTTACTGCTACTGACATATCTATTTACATCTTTTATTAGGAGATACGTGCATGCTTTCCTTACTTTGTATTTTGTTGTAGAGTAAATTGCACCTTGTCATGAGGGGGTGAACTTATAACGACTCCCTTTGCCGATGTTATCCTCCCAGCTCAAATTTTCTATCGATTATCTAATGAGGAGGTTGAGATATGATGCCCATTCACAGATAAAGTAGTAGTGTTAATAACGCGTCATAGGGAACTACAAGGAATTCAATGAGATTATAACGAGGGCCGTGTGGTATAGTTAAGTTGTTGTTGTCCTTAAGGATTTGCAAATAAAATTGTTTATGTTTCAGGTAAAAATGTACGTAAAGCTATCCCTGTATCATGCCGTGGAGTTTCATAGGATTGTGAGACGTCAAGGCTCCCACATTTTCTAGGCAAACAGCTCACAGATGACGGTGAGGTTGTCAGCCTTTCAAGCTGCCCGCTCTTTACCACCCAGGAATATTCCTGGTACCCACTTTTGTTAGAGGATGAGTCGAAACCAGGGCCACAGTTAGGCTGGAAGGTTTTAGTCAATTGAAAACTCCAATCCCCTCATCGGGACTCGAACCCGCGACCTTCCGAGTTCTGGTGTTTCAGGTGATATACAAAAATTTACAGATTAAAATAAGGGTAGAAAAATAAAATTCTATCAGCACTAAAGCCACAAGTATTACATAGTGCATTTTGTACATAAGGTGCTTCGGTAGTATCTCTATTGCAGCCTTCAGGGTATCATACGTCATATCCAGATAAATTTAATTATTTATTTTATTTCAAAATATATGAACAAAGGGTAGTCTACTGATAATCATATCAGTTTATTATCAGAAACATTCCAGGGTCAATCCCAATATATATCAAAACTGGTCGTTATAATGACAACCAGCAGCTTGTAAACCTGAGTGGGGGGGGGGGATGGAGAATTTGGTGGATTGAAGATTGGCAGGGGAATTGAAGTACTCGGAGAAAACCCGCCCCAGCACCACTTTGTTCACCACAAATCCCACTTGACCAGACCATGGATCGAACCTGTGCTGTCGCGGTGGGAAGTCAGTGACTAACCGCTTGAGCTATGGCGCGGCCTATACCTTAGTACAACCAACGCCATAAACGTCATATATTTCTTAGCACCCTAGGAAAGAGACAGTTTCCGACATAGGCTCTAATATTTAACATTTATTACACACAAACAGCGCTCTTACCTGGATAATACATGATGCTTCTTCTGACGGCGTAGTTCGCTTCAGGTATCCTGAGCTCGCAGTCAAACATAGTGTCGGTCTGCATCTCCCTGCTCTCCAGGACTTTCGTCGCAGAGATGTCGTAGCACTTGTGGGCCACCGTCACCTGCACCTCCACATCCTTCAGGCTCTCCCTACGCCACAAAAATCTTTCGATGTTTGGTCGTTTCACAGTGACAACATTGGAAGTACTCGCGAAAAAGTAGTAAAGTTTCAGGTTCTGAGATATCAGACATCTAATTAACTAACTAACTCCAGGGAGCTGAGCCCGCCGAGTCTCTCAGCCGCTCAAGAATTGCCCAATATTTTACGGAACCCGAACGTTTATTACTGTGATCACAACAGCACTCCGTTGGTACCTGTCCTGAGCCAGATTAATCCAGTCCACACTACACCATAAGAGAAGGTAAAGCTATTCCTGTAACAGGCCGTGGAGGTCCATAGAGTTGTGAGACTTCGAAGGTCACACATTTTCTAGAAAATCGGCTCACACATGGAGGTGAGGTTGTCAGCCTTAAGCTCCGACAGCCCTTTACCCGCATGAAGATTCCTGATACTCATTACTGTTAACGTCTGAGTCGACCCCAGAGTCGTAATACGGCTGAAAGCATTAAGTCAATTGAAAAATTACCTCATCTGGAATGGAAACCGCGGAATTCTTGTTTGTAATATAGTTTTTCAACCAACTACGCTACCGCGTGACCCCCATGCTATCCCTATTTATCTCTAATTACTACCGAACAGACTTAATATGAAGTTGTGCAGACACCTGCACTGCGGTGCAGTAATTTTACATCGTGATTCTAAATAATTCTTTCCTTGCCAACACATAAAGTTCTCTTCCCCTAACATGACATTTAACTCAGAGTTCTAGCTCCTGGGATATATCACCATGTAGTCCGCTTAAAGTCAACCAAATTTTCACAGGAGTATGCCTCCATTTCGGAGTTGAAAACTAAGTTAAGCAAGAAATCAGCTTGAATCATACAACTGATTGGACTTTCGAAACGTCAATTATCTTTCACCGGACTACAAATTCTTATATTTCACTAGATAGAACTTTTTTGCCAAAGTTATGAGAAAATGGAATGCTACAAGTTATCGAAGCTTCAGATTTCATAAAGGGTCGATCATACCTTAAGAAACACACATTGGGAATGTTTTCAAGGATCCTGTGAAAGGTTGGTATATTCTGTGATATCGTTCAGGCTTCTGGAGTGATTTAAGAGAAACGCGTTAATGTAATTAGGAAAGTTAAGTTCCTTAATTTAAACACTATGAGTATTATTTAAAATTAAGGTCCCTTCCTACTCAAACTTCATTATAAGCATGAGTTCCTGTCAAATGCACTTACTGTGATTCTGTACTCCGAATAAACCATGCAGACAGACCAAAAATATGGATGGTGAATTTATTTATCGATTTAATACGTAAGATCGTATTGTAGTATTCAATAAAATATTCATTTATGGAAACATTTAACACATTAAAGACGTTTGAACTTACTTATTTTTACTATCCATGTACGTGTAGAGCGACATCTTCGGTTCTGGGTATACACCCTGAGCTTTACACGTGACGTTGATGGCCCCAGAATCGTGCTTCCTCCAGGTAATGTGTAAATTCTTTTCTGCAGCTGAAACACAGAAGTGTTGCAACTGCATTACAGTACTCCGAAAAGAAGAGGAACACTGCATTCGATTTGAAACGAACAAATGAAAGACTATAAAGAAGAAAGCGAAGAGAATATAACTTAAAAAGGATAAAAATATTGGGATAGAATAGAAAAAGCGGAAGATAAAAGTAAAAAGTAAGTAAAGCTATCCCTGTAACAGACCGTAAAGGCCCATAGGTTTGTGAGATATTGAGCCTCCCACATTTTCTAGACAATCGGCCCAGAGATGGCGGTGAGGTTGCCAGCCTTACACGCCAGCCGCCCTTTACCAGCAGGAATATTCCTGATACTCATTTCTGTTAGAGGCTGAGTCGACCACAGGACCATAGTGCGGCTGGAAGAATTGGGTAAATTGAAAAAAATCTATCTCAACGGGATTCGATCCCGCGACATTCCGGCTTATAGCATATTGCCTCAACCAACAACGCTATCGCGTCCCTCCAAAGCGGAAGGTAGAAAATGGAATTGGAACTAATAAGAAAGTAAACATATATATATTAAAAATAAGCTGAGCATAAATTATTTTCTTCATAGCTGGGATAAATTAATATCCTGAAATGCAAGACGATTACAAGGGCAGAAAAAGAGGGAGGCTGAAGAGAATTGCGTCGTGGAGCTTCATCAATTCTACTGCTCTCCAAATATGTTTATAAAGATAAAATTTTGGGATATTAGAGATGGCGGGCATATATGATGCATTAAATGAATATAAATACATATAATTTTTTTTAGGAAACCCTGAATTAAGCAGACCACTTTGAAGACCTAGTAGTGAATGGGAGGCTGATATTAAAATGGTTCTTATAGAAACTGTAAGAGGGTACTTACTGCTTTCATCTGACTCAATATAGGAGACTAGTGGCGTTTATTTTAAACAAGGAAATGAACTTTTGATTTCTATAAAACACTCAGAAATTCTTGACTAAAGACGGACTCTGCTCCAAGGAGTTTGGTTAGGAATTCATCCTATGTAACAATACAAAACAATTTCAATTTACTGTGTTATAAGGTCTGCTGTGTCCAGCAACTGGTCCATTCATATTTAGTCCATTTCCCGTGCTGCAACACTTACTTGGCTTCCCATTGCTTTTATCAATCAGCTGAACTCCATTATCGAATTGCAAGAAGAAAGTCTCTCTTCTTTTTAAAATGTGAACAAGTGTTGAAAGCAGAGAGAAGAACAGGAAATTTCCATTTCTTGTATAAACAGGGCTGTATGTGGGCAGATTATTCATCGTGGCTGTGAACTGGGTAGGCGGGGGATACATGTACTTAGCTACTTCTTTATCAAGCATCTTGCTCCAAAAGGAAGAGAATTTCAAATGTACTGGACCAACTTCGTTTTACTGCCGTGCATTCACCGGCGCTTGGAATTAACGTAATGGGTCACGGCGAATTAACAAGCAGAAAGTGCTGCAACTCCATCTGCTGGCAGGAAACCAAACTAACACTGCACAAAATATCCGTAGAACAGGGGTGAACAATTGTATTTTTCCCTTTGGTGTCGCAGGGGACTAATAAAAGGTGACGGCGTATTAGAAAACAATAACTGAAAATTGTTAAATAATTCTGAATTACTCATACTCACTGAATATATTTTATAATTATACTCTAAATTCACATCATTATAGTTAATGAGAGCAGCAATTTCTGGGATGTGACGCCGTGTAGCCTGGTAGAATTTTATCGAAAACTGTAATTCATCTCCCCCTTATAACTTTCTGGCACAGTGTTTACTTACTTACTTACTTACTTACAGGAACAAATTTACGTTTACCTCTCAAGAGAGTATTCATCACCATGAGCAATTCGAATCTTAGATCTTTGGCAGAAGAAGAGGAAACCTCTTGTTATCATAAAGTTTTTTAAAGTTTTGAAATAGATTAAATTAAAGCAAATAATTATTTAGGAATTAAATAATCGCGTAAATGCAGAGGCCTACCATTATAGTTGAAAAATTATTTTATAAATAAATTAATAAAATCGAATTTACTCATGCATCCACAATACTTCATTTTGCACAAAACTAATTAAGAAAATAAGTAGTACATTAAAGGTAATTTAAGTACGTCTGAATTTCAGCTGCTATGAAAACTTCTAGCGGGATGACATTACACTCAAAAACTGTTTCATCTTTTGTAACATCCTTAATTCCTGACTCAGATAGTTCCGAGAGAAGATGTGGTTCTGATCCACTGTCAGTTTCACACAGTTCGTTATTAAAACATATATTGCATACCTTCAAGTAGTGTTTAATGGTAAAAATACATCGTACAATTTCTTAAATCTTATATATTAAGCTCCTTTAACTCTATTTCACTTTGCAGGATCTAAGAGTATACTTTTTGTGACAATAAAATGCGATGTTAAGACAAAATGTTCCAACATTTCAGCTAACGTAGAAACTTTTATTTCAGATTTTTTATATGACTTCTCTGTAGATAAGTTAGGGGTTTCTGAATTCCAAGGTCTGAACTGTGGATTCAAACGGATAGACCTACGTCATTAAAATATATGTGCAATGTAGAGAGTATTAACTGCTTAATTCCATAAAGTAGAGGCCTCTTTCACCCAGTGGTATTTACGATAACCAAGAGTTTAAGAAGCCGGTCACGGTAGCCGAGCGGTCTAAGGCATGTACTGTCTTCGCTCGCTTGGAAACCGGGATCGTGGGTTCGAATCCCACTCAGGGCATGGATATTTGTGTGCGTTTTTCTGTGTTTGTGTAGAGGTAGAGGCCTTGCGACAAGCTGATCACCCGCCCAAGGAGTCCTACTGAATGTGTAAGATCTAGAAAAACCGAAGTGAACGGAGAAGTTCATGGAGGTAGGCCTAGGGTCACTGGGGCTGTAGTGCTAAGGATAAAAAAAAAAGTTTAAAAAAGGTCAAAAATCAAATTGAATTCAAGTGTTAATTTAGTGTCATATGTGGTAGTAACATACCACTATACCAGATTTAATGTTCATACAGCCATGGCTTGTTCTTCGCTGCTTCTTTCATAATAAGGCGTATGCATGACATGGAGGGTAGGTTCTTGAGCTATGTTCTGTGAACTACATTCCTTACATCCCAGGAGAATGAGTCTTAGATTGGGAGTGAAACTGGGTATATGCACGCACCGGCTGATTACTGTCAACAGGGATTGCAGGCTGTGATTTGCAAGACATTCAAGAACGGGCCGCTGCGAGAGTAGTGTTATAAAAAATGTTATCTTTTATTATTCTTATTTTATCTTATTATACAAAAATATTTAAATCCGAAAAAATAAATACGACTGGAAACGTTGTTGGCTTTGTGTGCGTTATACACGTAGGCCTAATTACTTTCGTTTGTTATACAATAAATTCGCTTAGTGGGAGGTGGAGTCCAACTGGGTCCACTCGGCACGGCGGCCACTGATTGGTCTATTGTAGCCTGCCCCGAGTGATTATAATGACGAAGAATTTGGTGGAATGAAGATTGCCAGGGGAAACCGATGTACTCGGAGAGAATCCGCCGCAGCGCCACTTGACCAGACCCGGGATCGAACCCGGACCGCCGATATGTGAAGCCAGCGACTAACCGCTTGAGCTATGGCTCGGCCGATTGTTATATAAAGAACTACAATTGGGCAGCAGAAAATTGAATGGGCTCAAATTTAAAAACATAAATCCGATTTTTAGGATCTCTAGGCTTAGATAATTATTAAATTAATAATTATACCGTGAGATTTGAAGTTTTCACGGCGATGGATCTGAATTGTACTGCCTTATAGGTTATAGCACCATGTAATGAGTTCATGGATGTTTCGAAGGAACCTGCTCCTCTATCTTCAGGGTGGAAGAGAAAACAGTAATCTTCATATTATTTGCTGCTTCTCATCCATTAGAAGGTAGAAACATAGCTGCCTACCTAATGCTGAAGAATAAGGCCTTGTCTTATAAGTACCCGGACGTCGGGGCAATAATCCTTTTCCACAACGTCATTTCGCGTTCCAGCTCTTTGCAAGTAAGGCAAACCGCACGGTGCAGTGTATTACTTGTGTTATCTTAAGGCCTTGTCGTATTTTTTCCAACGCTCGTGAGACAAGACTTTAAATTGCTCCATTCCTTTTTCCACCACTTTTACTCCCTACAAATAAACACAAAGGGGTGAGCTTAGCCTGAATTTATAATGAAGACCGGCAGCCGGAGAAAGAGTTTCAGAACCGTCTTATTTGGTACACTCTGGGCCACTGAGAATTCGCTTTGACCGAAAAATTAAATTGTCTTGTCGAAATGCAGTTTGATGTTATCATTATATTATTAAAACTGTTATTGATTTTTAATTAACATAAATCAAAATTACCATTAAAATCAATTTTACCTTTCTCAGTTCTTAACTAAATTTTTTTATTCATGATAACGAAAGTGTTGTTATTTCATGAAGCTGGTTTTAATCTCTTGCTATTGTATAGACTATCTTATTTTGTATTTTGTATAGTAGTTATTTTTTAGTCCTCCGTACTTATGCTAACCTAGTAATTTGCCTCTGAGTTGTTAAGTTTACATGTACGAGTATATACTCGTAAACAAGAATTAAATTAAATTCAGTTGAATTGAATTGTTATTCTTTCTAAATATTTATATTTTACTTTTCTAAATTCTCAATGACAACTTAGATTTGTGTTAATGAAACTACTATTATTATTATTATTATTATTATTAGTAGTAGTAGTAGTATTAGTAGTAGTATTTACATGTACAATAAACAACAATTAAACTGAATAATTATTATTATCCTCTCCGAAAATCTATACTTTTCCTTTCTCAATTAAATATTTGCACGTTTCATTTCTAAGTTCTCAATGACATTTAGATTTATGTTAATGAAATTATTATCATTTGTTTATTTGTTTACTTGTCTGCATTATTGTGTTCTCCTCCAGTGTTTGCCTGTAATTTGTCTTTGACTTTATGCGGTGTTTGTCCATAATGTAATT